GAGGGACAAGAAGTACTGAGAGTTTTGCGGAATTCAACGCCCCTGTCTCACCTTCTTTCTCGCGGCTTACGTGGCCACATGAGTTGCGCAACAGGTTGCTTCCCTCCCTTTGGTGTTTTTGGTTTTGGTTTGGTGGGTGTTTGGGTGTTTGTTTCGTCTGTTTGGTTTGCAACCTGTGTAGTAACTCCTTCTTATCTCGACCAAGGTGACTTGCGCAGAACCTGCACACATAGCGCCTCGACTCGTGCAAAAAAAAGGCGTCTAGGCACCCTGTCTTGTGACAAAACCACAATGCCAATTTGTAAATCTTATTTGCCTGCGAAACTTTCCATTGGTTGGTTGGTGACAAGTTTGGAAGGCCCCACACGTGCTGCTCATCACGAAGTGGTGGAGGTCCGTGCCCATGACCGAGGTGACCAGGGAGGCATTTGTCCCTGGCTCGGCTACAGGTGCCACATGGAAATCCACAAAAAATAAACACGGCTTGGTGTGAGAGCACAGTTGCTTGAAGATGCTCACATGGTCTATGGTCAGGTCAAGGCGACTGGCTTAACCTGGTGCGATGACGATTTGCTTGGTGATCGATTGGAAAACAGTGAAACGAACAGCGTCAGAAAAACTTGCAGATCCACAGCACACCTCCATGACTGTGCAAGTGAGCTGGTTCGAATTAAGATCTGGGCTCGGCTGCGACGCTAGTCACAGGGTTTTTTTGCACGGGTCGAGGCGCTATGTGTGCAGAGGATGCACAAGTCACCTTAGGCTGGTGACAAGAGAGATACGAACCAAGCGGCAAACCGAAAAACCAGAAAAGACAACACAAAACAACAACAAAACCAAACCCACCCGAAACGGAGGCAAGGTTCGTACCTCAAGTCAGCCAGTAGAAAAGGGTGAAACAAGGTGAAACGATGGGCAATGAAATTCAGCCTTTGCACTCAGTACTGCATCATGGGGTCATTATTTGTTTCCTACTCAAAGAGGCTGTTTGGCTTATGCATCGCTTTCGAAATCTCGCGACGCCAGTCACAGGGGGCATTCGCTCCCTGGATGCGCCTTGTGACAATCCTTCTTCCAACACAAACGCCAGCCGATCACGCACCTCTTCCCTGGTCGGATTTTCGCCTTGCACCTACCCACGTTGAAACGTTTGCACAAGGTCTTATCCCCAACATGCAATTCGCAGTTCTCTGGCACGATGATTGGCATGCCCTGCTGCTGCTGGGCTTGGCTTGGGGGACAAATTCCAGTAAGACCACAAGCAAGGCAAATACCTGAGTTTTTTTTTTTGCAGGGTGGAGTTTCGCTGTCGAAAACCCAGATCGCTCTTGGCTGTGGGCGCTCCTCGCTGACATGTTCAGGGCTTGCAACCACGCCTTGAAAGCCTTTGCAGCCACCATGGAACATGTGATTTTCGACCAGTGCATGCGTGGGGGATTTTGAGGGATAAACGCACCAAAATCCCAGCCTCTCCAGGGTTGTTCACACCTCTAGATTGTGACCACTCACATGAGCATGCCTCTTAGACCCCTTTGCTCAAGGGAACCGAATGGTGTACCCCACAGCCACTGAAGCCGAATACCCAGCCTTGCTCCAAACGCATGGCTGCTTGCGTTGGCGAAGCAGTGCACCAGTTGGGGCTCACCCCACGAGTGCACCCACGCTTGAAAGTCCTCCTCACATATAGCCTGGGGGCCCAGACCATTCGACATCCTCCATTAGTGCAAGAATATAAGGAATTTGCTCACTTAGACCAACCCATAGACCTTCCCTCCTACAAGCTTTTGGTGTTTCCAATCCAGGGGGAGACCCCCCAGAAGAAATCTCGAGTTAGGCGCACGTATAAGTGTGGCATCCTTAGAGAAGCAGCTGAATTCTTGGAACAAGCCAGGCAGGTCGTGCGTCCGATTGATACTGAGCACTTCATCCATGAAGCAACTCATGAAGCCATCAAGTACGTGATAACGACCGACCCAGTGACTCTTGCAAAGCAAAGATTGCAAGTCGTGCTTAATCTTAGAAAGCTAGCTGACGAACTCGCACCAAAAGAAAAAGAACTGAAAGACAGCATGGCCCCGCAACTTCGGGAACGACCGAAGGCCAAGAATATTGTCCTTTTTGAACACATCTTGAAGAAGTTGGGATAAGAAGACTTGGGGGTGATCGACCTTCTCGTGAAGGGTGTCCCCCTTGTGGGCATGCAGAAAGCTCCGGGTGGATACCGACCGTTAGTGGTGACTCAAGGTGAACTTGAGGCATCAGCTCTGTGGCGAAGGAAGAGTGTGATGGGGGCCAAGTCGGACCTAGCCCCTCCTGATGAGGACGAGTTGGCAGCGGCAGCTCAAAAGGAAGTAGGTCTTGGTTTCTTGGAAGGGCCTTTCACGGAGTCTCAGCTGGATAGTTTCTATGGCCATCAGAAGTGGCTCCTGAACCCGAGGTTCGCCTTGCACCAAAGACTCAACAAAGTCCGAGTGATCGATGATGCCAAAGCCAGCTCTCTGAACACTGCGTACTCTTCCACCTTTAAGTTGCAACTGCAGGATAATGACTACATAGCAGCCATGATCCGGGCGGCCATGTTGGAGCAGCAGCGACAGGGCGTGTCGGACACTTGGCATGGGAGGACCCTGGACCTTAGCAAGGCCTACAAGCAGCTGGCCATCATGCCTGACCACGCCCACCTTGCAGTGGTAGGATTTCCAGTCAGGGGCACGTGGCAATTCTATAGATCCATTGCACTACCTTTCGGGGCAACGGGTAGTGTATATGGGTTTGTCCGAGTGTCACAGGCCTTATGGTTTGTCGTCACCAAGTTGCTGAAGGCCATCACCTCCCATTACTTCGATGACTTCCCAATGATAGAGCGAACAGCAGGGACCAGAGTGCTTTTTCTTTCTTTTGGGGCCATCCTGGATTTATTGGGTGGCAATACGCCAAGGAGGGCGACAAAGCGAGTGACTTCGCCCTGGCGTTTGACGCGCTTGGAGTGACTTACACGCTGAACCATGCTCCATCAGGAGTTGAGGTCGCCAACAAGGCGGGGCGCGTTGAGAAGATTTGTGAGCTGCTGGAGGAAATAGAGAGGCGTGGCATTGTCACGGGAGCCCAAGCGGCGGAAGCGCAAGGGCTCCTCAACTTTGCTTGTGGCTTCTTTTCGACCAACGCTGCCCGCCAGCTGGTGTCTGCCTTTGCACCCTTAGCCGACGACCGTAGCCCTGAAGCTAGCAATAAACTGGTAGCCTTGTGCCGCTATGCCCGAACCATCCTGGTTGCTTTAGGACCCCGATCTCATAATCTAAATGACACTGATAGTCCTTTCCTCATATTCACGGACGGCGCCTTCGAGGACGGTCATGCCTCAGCCGGTGCAGTGATAGTGGATACGGCTACCGGGTTCAGTTCGTGCTTTGAAGTCCAAGTGCCTCAGGACCTTCTGGACCTCTGGCTTGAGACATCGGATCAAGTGATTTGTCAGATCGAGTTGTGGGCTTTTGTGGCCGTCCGGTGGGATCTCCGAGCCACTCTTCTGAACAGGAGGGTCATTGCTTGGATTGAGAATCAGCCTCATTAAAGCCGCCTCGCATTCACCCAGCATGGCAGCCATGTGCCAAGTTTGTTGCGACGTGGAGATATCACACCCAGCAACGCTCTGGATCGAAAGAGTACCTTCATTTTCGAACCCTGCTGAAATTCCTTCCAGGCACCAAGTTCGCAGGGCGTCGGAGAGTTTGGGCCTCGACAGTTCGAGCACCTTGCATTGCGATCCGGAGTTGGTAAGAGCAGTCAGGGATGCCACCAAAAATCCCTTCACTGTTTCTCATACCACGGGGGCATAAATCCGAGACACAGTCCTTACTTGGTAAACGGATCAAAGATGACTGCACACAACGTGTGAGACTTTCCCCAGACTCAAATCGCAATTGAAGCAAGGACACAAAAAGGAATATATATATATATA